GCATAAAAATTAACAAATATTGTGTATTAAATAGTCATACAATGTTATCGATATGGTTTTGTGCGTAGAGTGGTCGGTGACCAATGGTGATAATCCAGGGTCTTTGGGCCCTGTTCTCGGGCTTATTGGCTTCAATGAGGTCCTGTTCGAGCCATCGGTACTGGTTCTCGATCTGATGTGTGCCGTACTGTTTGGTGTAATAGTAGAATTCAGTCGATATGGAAATGATATGCGCGGGTCCTATGTTTGTGCTCCAGAAGTGGTTATTGATTGTGTGTCCGCCCGAAGAGATCATTGAAAATCGGTTGTCATAATTGGAGAAATTGCTGGCAATTAATTTGGATAAAATATTAAATTAATTTAAACCCATCAAGGTGTGTTTAGAAAAATGGACACATACTATGCCTGTTCGTGATTGCCCGGACACACCTGATAGGGTACGTACGCTGCGATCGGCTCTATTTGTCTCATAAACTCATCGCCCACTCTAGCGTTATCCTAATAATTATCATCATTATTTAATAATCCATTTATAAATTATAATCCTAACGACAATTTTGTTATCATTATTTATAAAATATTATATTATTAATATATTATTTAGTATTGTTTCTTACCAGATCCAAATCATAAGCAATATCACCTGTCAATAACAAAATATATAATTAACTTAATGAGTATATTATTTACTATAATAATTGATGTCAAGCTTATTTTATTTTGAGGGTTTGCATGAGTACTCTGTTATTATAATAACAATAATAAGATAAGATATCTAAAGCGAACATTAAATCTTATATAAATATGGGAATGAACTTGACATCATATGATGTTGGTTAATTAATTGTTGTAAATACTAATAAACTTACCAACATGAAGAATGGCATCATAGAGACCCTGTTGGACCTCATTTTGAAGCCGTGGTAAAGTGGCGGCTAATATATTACCCAAATCACCGTAAATGGCAAATCTCGGACTCCAGTCATTGCCTTTTTTGAGAGCCGTGAAGGTAAATATGGGACTCCAGCCGTCATCGCTGCCCACGTGATACTCTATAGTTAAGTAAATAATGGTTAATTTTATTACAATACTATTTAATTAAAAACAAATGTTAGTTTTGTTATTGATAATTAAAAATGTTGTAAATGAATAATCGCCGTCACTTACTGTATGTCTGTCCCGGTACAAGTGCCGTAAGTGTGACCCGATGTATAAACATTTGGCGTTTTTCGGGGCCTCCGTCCACAAACTTACGTGCGCTGCCGTGCGCTGACATATTGATTGACTCAATGCCATACCATACGGTCGATTTGGCAGTCAAATCAAACGTGGTCCATGTCACTATCATCTGACTCTCGTCGGCTATTTTGTAATTGAAAACAAATTAGTTTGACCTGGTTAGCATGCAATTATGGCAATCTAATAAAATATAAGTTGCCAACACGATTTAATGTTATACCTCCCAATGATAGATGAATTTGTTCGGGCTGTACATACAGTGTATCCCACGGGTCGGGCAACACATCGTACGCGCATACAGTATGGCCTGCAATAAGTACAGTAATTACAGTCGATATATAAACAAACATATTTGTTACAAAATTAAGAAATAAACTGAATGTTTATTCATAAAAATGCCGATATATATAGTGATGTACATTATTGGTACAGAATCGATAAATAGGATTATGGTTTAACTATGATAAAAAGTTCAATAATTATTTAATTATCAAAGACTGGTGTGCTCCTAAGCCCTAAGCATAATGGTACATAATGTATAATATTATACTTATGGTAAATCTAAGGTTAGATCATTTAAAATATTTACTATATTGCATAAAGTGTAGTCGGATCTAAAACATGCACATTTAGATTTTATAACCATGTAATAATTTTTACATTTCAATTTCTAAATGTTACGATCCTACAAATTACATGATTCATATCTGAATTGTGGTTTAAAAAGTAAGTGTTTAGACAACAACTATTTTGACAAAAAACAAAATTTTATTATATTTCAAACAGAATTTACTTTTAAGATTATATTTAAAATTGAATTTTTTCGCAATTCTGCAAAATAAACAAAACTATTTTATTTGAAACACATTTTGTTGTTATAATCCAGAGATGGTTTTGATTGAATTGATAAAAATGAGTTTTAATTGTTGACATTAATTGTATATATAATTTGAGAATTAAAATTCTTTTATTGCAGTTTTAACTAAATATCTCTTTTATATTGCAATTTAAAAAGCAATACATTTGTCACAAAAATATCAATTCGAGAGTTGTTTTGAAAGATATGTGAATGAATTGATAAATCCTTGAGAAATTTAAACTCTCATTAGATTTAACAAATAAATGCATTCATTAATTCCTTCCACTATTGATAATATGCACAGATTTGATAACAAAATAAATCTCTAAAACATAAATCAATTGATAGTATTGTAGAGAACGGAAATCTAAGTGTCAATAAATTTATGTTTTAATTTAAAGTTCTCAGAATATATTTTGAATTGTTTTGAGATAAGGTTTGATTTCCTTTTAATATTACAATTGTTATAGAATTTATGTAAACATAATGTTTAAATTTATAAAATGTTTATAAAATTATAAACTTTTTATGTATTTTCTATTCAATTGTGTTTATAAGCCATTGATTACTTGTATTAAAAGTCGATTGAAACGTCTATTGTAAACTTATTGCCAACTATTGTAAAAGTCTTGATATTTAATAAATATAAAGTTATTTGTGTTTAACTAAAAGCCAAGTTATACTGAATTAGTGTCCATAAGAATCAGAACTCTAGTGATCGGTTCGATTGCTTCAATATTATGAAAGCCAGACGATAAAAGCGTTTTAGAAATTATAATTTTGCATTAAAATCGTGGAAAATATACATTTACTGTGTATTTATGAATACATTTAGTGTCAGAATTGATATCTGATAACATTGCTCTTATATATAATGAGTCTTTTAAGCAATTATTCAACACTTTATATTTAGATCTAGTTTTTATTTTCAAATATGTTGCGCTATAATTTAAATTTAAGTAATCGTTGGTTTTTGTGTCCAACATTTACCAAGACGTTGACTTTATTGATAGCAATATTTGTGCTAAAAGTTGACGTATTAGTGGCCAAATGTCCGGCGGGTGAAAACTCGTGGTGTTCACAGATTGACGGTTACGATAGTATAAAACTCGATGGAAATCGCTTTCCAGACCTAAAACCAGATCTCAAACACATAAGCAATCTATTGAACGAAACCAAACACAGCAAAACATTTCATCAGTTTTGGCTTCAAAATAATCCAAATGTGCGCAAATTGGAGGCAAACAGTTTGGCAGATCTAACATTCACTGCGATCAAGATTATCAACTGTACTAATCTGATCAGGATCGATCCCAACGCGTTCAACGGCACTCAGCACTCCATCATCAAAGTGCACATCGACTTGATCTCAATCAGTGGCCCGAGAAATGTTGAAGACTTTTTCGAGGCGTTCAATGATTTACCAAAATTAGAGGAATTGATTTTATTGAACCACAATATCATTACGATTCCGCCGTTCGCTTTCAGACAACGGCTTCTCAAGCGACTAGAACTGGACGGACCCCTCGATGTGATCAAAAACAATGCTTTCTTTGATTTAAATAGTTTGAGAGCTTTGAAACTCACAAAGTCTGTCAAACACATCCCAAAGCATTCATTTGATTTCAAAACTCAAACCAATCAAACACTTGACATTGATTTTGATATTAGATTCAACACAATAGAAAGTGGTGTCTTTCGTTACGCGTTGCGACCAATTCATCTAAATCTATACTTAAGAAAATTAAGAGATTTTGACAAAAGTGTATTTAAAGCTATACTAATGTCTGATTATAAACACGACATTACATTTCATGGAGAGCTTAAAGAGATGAGAAATAAATGCATTCTTCATTGGCTTTTCGCAGAGACGACCACTTTTAATGGCAGAATCAGCTTTCAAACAGACCCTATGATAGGAGTCCGTGATTTCATGAATTGTCCTTTAGATGACGACAACACTAACGACTCTCAGGTTAACTCTGTTGTCAGTTCCCGACCACCCGTTAACTCAATACCCAATTCAAAATTCATTAACAAATATGTTATTCTGTTTGTCGGCTCATTGTATTTGTATCTCACTTAATATGAATCCAAAATAAATGCTGTGAGAATTAGGGAACAAATGTAAAACTTATGTTTTCCAAACACTTAATATTGTACATATTTACTGTAGTTAAGAAAAACAACCTTTTTTTGCTTAAAATTTTTATATTTAGATTAACATAAAAAGCGAATCTTTTATTATTTCAATAAATTCACAATTTTTGTTTACAAATTAAATTGGATTTAAATTTTAATGAAATAAATAAAAAGTTAAAAACATATTTCAATCACTTGTAATGATTCGCGATATTAAGAATTAACTATTTCTGCATTTCCTGTCAAACAATTCGCAAAAAAACTTTTGACTTTCCGTTTTGGCACTCAATACAAATGCAAATAACATACAGTATATTGTAATTAATTTCTTCACTTAATAAATATACAAATTATTGTTTGTAACAAAATATACTAATTGTTTTCAAATCAAATATTGTTTTTAATAATGATTACATATTTCTAACTATTTCTGCCTTTTGTCAACACTCAATATTTAATTTTTCTCGTCTGTAATTCATATTATAATAAATAAATTTAAGGTTAAATAAAATTTGGGTATTGTTTCACTTGCTTTTAGATGTAATTATCATTTTTAATTACAATATTTATAACTAAAACAACGAAAATCTAAATAAATTTTTTATTTTACAAAAAAAAAGTTGATAAAATATTAAGATGTTGAGTAATAAATGGATATTAACTTTGCTATAAAAGATAATAAAATTTTAATTACTTTTTATTTAAAAAATAAAATAAAATTTTAATAATTGATATATTTTAACAGTTAATATATCAGTTTCTAAACTTTAACACAAGAGATATACTTATCGCCAAAATGTGGTATAATATCAATGTTCTGTACATTACCAGCCTTTCTAAGCACATGTAATCTCAACTCCTGGTTATCATTCATGTTATTGAGCGCATCAATCAATTGTCCAATTCTTGTCAACTCTTTACCATTGATTTGCTGTACGATATCATCGATTTGTAATTGATTTCTGATCATAAAATACACAGCAATTATTTGTCAAGGTAATTATTCAGAACAAAAGCAAATACATACATGTTATTCAATGAATTATGACACGAAAAGCCACAGACTCTAAACCCTTGTGGCTCTTGGCGTAACTCAACTCCCAGTGCTTTCTTATTAACAAACGAACACTTTTTCTCCAGACTCTGTCTCTCAAACTCTAATCCTCTGTCCATAAAGTCTTGTAATTATTACAAAATTAATGAAATTACTCTTAAAAGTAGACAACAATCAAATGCAACATTTTGTTCATACCTTTGACTTCAGAGGAATAAATGGCAAAGTTATTGTATTGTCGACGACCGGCAAAATTGACGCCAATTAGACGGCCAGACATATCGATGAGAGGACCGCCGGAATATCCGGGTTTAATTAAAGCCGTGTGTGTTATATACGGATGTTTGGGCCGAATAAGCATATGGTAGTACTGGTCGTAACTGTCGCTCACATCCACACCCCTGTCGTCCACACCGTTAATCACTCCCAACTCTAAACTGTGGTCAACCCTCGGATTCCCGATCGCCATCACGTGTTGCCCTACGTTAGGCGCGGGTATGTCCGGAAAGGCCATAGCTGTCAACACACCCGGCTTTACGTATATCCTGACCAGCGCTAAGTCCAGCTGCGGCTCACAGTAGACAACCTGTCCTCTGATGACACCTACGGGATCAGTACCCGTCTCCCCGACCAACAGCTCACGAGCAGTGAACTGTTTGGCGAGAGAAATACCTACGAAAGACAGATCGTTGACCACATGAGCGTTGGTTACGATGAGACCATCGGTGCGGACAATAATGCCGGTGCCAAAGGTCGAAGAGGTGCCCACTTTAGCCACCGATTGCAAACACTTGTTGTAAATGTTTTGTTGGTTTTGTTTGCTTTCGTCCAAACGGGCCCTTCTTATCGGCCATTGTTTCGGGAATTGAGTTTTCGGGACAAATGTTTTATCATTTCTGTCACAGTTTTGTCGGTAATAATGACCGCAAATTATAGCGACGGGTAAAACATATGGTGCGCTGATTGGGGTTACAAATGGATTATTATTTTTGTTGCAATAAATAAATATTTTTAAACTAACTTTTGCCCAAATTTAAAAGATAAAGCTCTCAATCTATACATCAATTGATTGTATAATTAAGTTATATTTAATATCCTTATTGTGATTAAGCGAAAGACAAAGTGAAGTATTAACTTAAAAATACAAATTCAAAAAATTGAATTTGAAATTATATTTAAACAATTATAATAAATTACAATTATCTCGAGTTTACCTAATTCTGTAGTTATTATAAAATTAAATCAAAAATAATTGCTTGAAGCATTAAAATTAAAATTATTTCTAAATTGACCATGGGGGGTTGCTAAGCGCACCCAACAAATACAATTAATAAAATATATGGTCAAAAGTTGGCAAATGTGAGAGGGATTATCGCATCTCATATACACTTGTACTTGAAATGAATCAAATTAAATTCAATTCAAATTAAATCAATATAACAATAGCCAAAAAGTGCCCAAATTATTGTTATCATATTTGTAACGTTGTTTGCGAACGATTCACATTTGTTTTGCTTGTGTTTGGCTTTGAAATTGAAATTTGAAATCATTTTTGGATGAGTTGTGAGGATATGTGAAGACATGTGAAGACACGCCAACACAGGAACCGATGACCGCCATAACCACCGACCCGTCCAACCAGTGGTCAGTCATTCAATGCATTCATAGTATAATATAATGAAATTTTATTCAATCGTAAAAACATTAGATATTTGTGTACAAAAACAAAGCCATCGATTGTCTCATTTATGTCCAGCGAAAGCGCGGCCGGCGTTTGAAGTCAACACATCCGACGCACTGGCAATTCATGGGTCCGGAGCCGCAAAGACCCCACTTATTACAGCAGTGGCCGACACCGGAGTCCGGATCGCAGATCGGGTACTGACCACCGATTTTGGGCGCCATTTTGCCGCACCGACCGGTCCTATGGGAGCCGTCGCCCACTGACCACCACCTCTTCGGCCG